AAAAAAAAAAAAAAAAAACATCTTTTCTATCTGTCTATGCTTTGTCTGTTTTTGCTCCGCCAACAAAAATAGATTAAAAAAGCCACAGCAGAACTGTTGCAACACGTAATAGTGATGTTTTTATACTAATATTATTCTCTCTTTTATTATAAAGAATTGTTACAAAGTGGATTGCAAAGATGATGTTTGGAGATTAAGTGAAGATAATGTAGGTTACATGTAAACACTCTGCACATTAATAATCCTACTTCCATACTTTTTTTTAAATGAACAGGTTGAGTGAATAATTCAGTAACTTATCTGAACATGTCTACTTTCATATTCAACCATTTATTCATTTTTTTTTTTTGGCTCAGCCCCTTTAATTGATCTGGGGTTGCCACAACGGAATAAATCGGTAACTCAAGCATATGTTTTATGCAGTGAACGCCCTCATTCACACTAATTCACTACAGACAATTTAGTTTACCCAATTCATCTATACCGCATGTCTTTGGACTGTGGGCAAACCGGAGCATCCGGAGGAAACCCATACGAACACAGGGAGAACATGCAAACTCCACACAGAAATACCAACTGACCCCAGCCGGGGCTCAGCGACATTCTTGCTGTGAGAAGATCATGCTACTCATACAATACACAATGTAAAAAAGAATATGACAAAAAGTCATGACAACAAATGAGTGTACGTTACTTTAAATTATTATTATTTTTTTTTTTTTGTTACACATACAGTTCTAAATTTTTTTGTTTGTTTGATTCACGTTGAGATTGAGAGATGGCTAAAAAGTTAAGATGATTCGAAAAAAAAACTAATTGTAGGCATTTTTAGTGTAAGAAAAAGCAAGTTGTGAGCTGAGTTTGAGTAAATGATTCAAATACTTTGTCACTTCTTTAACTTTAGAATGAACCTGCTTGTTTGAATGAATAGGTTAAAGGTGCAGTTGGTGATCTGTCTAAATGCTAACCGGTTAGCATAATATCTTTCAAATACATTCACCTGCCGTCCAAAGCAACACTTCTTAAAATCGCGAACGCGTACATTAAAGATGCCGGAGACTCACTAGATCATGTCATTTGCCAGTTAGCAAACTTTATAGTTCTTTATAATACTACAGTTCTGAATGAAATACTGTATTATATCTAGCATGATTTCAGTTGTGTAGTTAGCAAGCAAAACTTGACGTAATGTGCAATATTTTATGCACTTTCTCCTAAAGCGACTACTGTATGCTCAGTGGTTGGCCAGCAGGGTGCAGGAATTATACTTATAACGTTATTTTTATTAATGAATTATACTTATAATCGAATATTCAAAGTAGTATGGTAAGCAATAAAGAGGCCGTGTCATCATTGTTCAAAAATGAACCGATGTGAATATAAAACCTCAGCTCAGTAAAGCAGGCTAGGTGGAATATCGCAATTTACTTACTTTTGTTGTGAAACTAAATAAAAAATGACATTATTGATGCTGTAAAAGTTTGCGTAAGAAATTGAAATTGAAGTTTTAAGTGGCTTAACATTTTCATCCTTCCTGCAGCGTGCAAAAGTAACTCCAATATTAATTCAGGATTTTAAAAAGTTTTAATTCAACATTTGTTTTTACCGCTTTCACTCGTGTCCACGGCGCATGAACACACATCGGCAGATTTGCATGAACGGGTGCGCAGTTGTACAAATCTACATTTGCTGACAGTTAGTTTAGGCTTCTTATCAGAATTATGGGAATTATCGGCTTGACAATTTTTAATTGGATGAACATTTTTTAGTCTTATGCCTTACCAAGAATATAAAAATACATATAAATAAATTTTGATCATTTAATTTAAACATTATTATTGGAATAACAAAAACAACATAATAATACATAACATAACAACAACAACAAAAAAAAAATAATAACTGCACCTTTAAGTGGATAATTCCGTTACTTGCTTTAAAACACTCTGCAGTCCATTTGTATAGTTTCTAGTATATCAGTATACTTAGTTACTATACATAGCCATGTTTGATTAAATTATTCAGTGAGTAATTCAGTTTTTTGCATTTCTTAATGAATTTCATGCAAACACACTCTGTATCTGAATAGGGCTAATTCCATACTAGTGTTAGCCTGAGCAGTGTGTCCAGATTTATGTGTGAAACCAAATGTACATATACAGTAGTAAACAACTTTTAAAAAAGCCACAGGAATCTCTTCTTTAGTTCCTTGATGAATTAGCATTTCTCTTTTAAGGGTTAATAAATAAAGAGTGACTGAAAACATCTCCACAGGAAATACACAGATATTCTCTCAGTGATGTATAAAATAATCAAATGAGTGATACAAACAAGAAACGGCTATACACATGGACAATAAACATGGCTCCTTTTGACTGTGAAAGCACCTTCAAGTATTGCATGCAAGACGAGACAATCTTCCGCTCTGATTCCTCAGCTGCTTCCTGGTGTTTGCAATGAGGCTTAACTGGAAATGGCACAGGCAAGGGCCTCTCCTCAGTTTAAGCTGTCTTAAATGCATTTTATATGACCTAATATTTCACCACACCAGGCCCATTTTCATCCTGAGATACACTGCAGATAAGAGTTATAATCTATGTGTGACGAATGTGCCAGACTCATGCCTCTGACTCTGGTATGTACACAACACTCTGCGGTTATGGCAGGATGATGGGGATAAGGAGACAGAAAATGAATAAAATGAAAGAGCAGGTGTGTTTGGTTAGGTTCTACCTGTCAAGTGGGTGACACACACACACACACACACACACACACACACACACACACACACACACACACACACACACACACACACACACACACACACACACACACGTCTGTATTTAAATGTATCCCTTATCAGTACTTCAATGTCTCCACTCAAGAACATTGGCAGGCATTATGTTAACATGTTTGGTCTGTTTAGTTTTGTTAAGAGACCCCAACAGACATGTATTGACTTTACTGTCTACAAGAGTAGACATTGTATGAATCTCAGATAGGCTGAGGATGGGACAGAAGAAATATTCAGAGGTAATTCTTATCATTTGATTTTTTTTCTAATCTTTGATAATGCTAATAACTGGAAATCCGGTTTTCAAGCTTAATCAAATGCAACATAAATGTTCTCTGTAAGTTAGATAAAAAAATGATTATCTTTCGGTTTACAGACAGTGTCCACTACAACTTCATTTAGATTTACTTAAGAGTACATCAAAAAATCTTTTTAGGCATAAAATCATTTCATGACATTAAAAGAGTTATTTTAAGTCAGAGATGCCCAAAGTAGGGCCCGCAAGCCGAATATGGTGCATTGTAACTTTTGATTTGGCCCATCGTCCCATCTGAGAAGAGAGTGAGACTGATGAAGAGGTTTGGGGTGAATGCCTTTAAATGAGATGGTAATTTTTAATTTGACAGTACCATTTTCTTGTTTGTTTGTTTTATTTCTGAGCTACCAAAAAATGTTTTGATTATTTGTTGTACATGTATTAGATTTTTTATTATGTAATTAATTTCACTTGATAAATAGAGGAATATGCAGAAGACATCGGTGAGCAAATCAAGGCAAAAACTAGTGTAACTCCATTCTGTTATACACAAGATTGATTTTGTTTTTACTTTAATAAGTTCATTATAAAATGTAAAACATGCGGTATTAGTTATAGTTAATAAAGAGCAAAGTTTTCTAGTTATTTTAAAATATTATAAAATAAATTAGGAAGTTACCTAAAGCAACTAATATTGACCTTCGGCCCACTATCCTCAATCAAGTTTGGCTTTTCATCCCTTTATAAGGAAAAAGTTTGAGCTCCCCCGTTTTAAGTAGTTTTAACATTATAATGATGGAAAATTTCATCCATATTTTGCCATTTAGTTGTTACTAAAGTAATTTGGAAAATAATTAAAGTCTGCAGTTAGTTGATCAAAAACACAATAAATTAATTGTAATATTGTATTTTTTTTTTCTTTTTTTTCTTTCCTGGGGTGACACGGTGGCTCAGTGTTTAGCACTGTCACCTCATGACAAGAAGGTCGCTGGTTCGAGTCCCGGCTGTCCAGTTGTCGATTTTGTGTGGAGTTTGCATGTTCTCCCCATGTTCGTGTGAGATTCCTCCTGCTGCTCCAGTTTCCCCCACAGTCTAAAGCCACACGCTATAGGTGGATTGAATAAACTAAATTGGCTGTAGTGTATTAGTGTATCTGAGTGTGTATGGGTGTTTCTCAGTACTGGGTTGCAGGGCATCCGCTGTTTAAAACATATGCTGGATAAGTCAGCGGTTCATTTCGCTGTGGTGACCCCTGATGAATAAAGGGACCAAGCCGAAGGAAAATTATTGAATGAATGAAATTTTTTTTTTAATTAAGATAAATTGTCATTTTAGAATAAATGTAATTAATTCATGTGATTCAGAGATGAATATCAACACCCCAATGTCACATTATTATAATTTCTCAAAATATTTTAATAATCAAGGGCACATTAAATAAATCAAAATTGCCATTAAACCTATATACTGTAATGTTTCAAAATATTGTATATGAAATTATCACTGTTATTTTAAACATTGTATTTATAAAAGTACCATGAAAAACATAAAATGGAACATTTAAAAGAAAATGTTCCAACATAATGATACTTCAGTGTTTTCGTTTTGTTATATTTTGGAGTAGCCTAAATGCAGACTTGGTGAGCAGAAGAGAGCTCAAAACATAAAATAATAATAATAATAATAATAATATATATATATATATATATATATACATATTAATAAAAATATAAAGGACCATTTTAGTATTTTCAATTTTCCTAAACATTTGACTGGCAATATTATACAATGCATTACAACATTTGTCCTTTTTTAAATTCTTGACCTGGTTGAAAGCAAAAGCAAAAGCGCACTGCTGAAAATAATGCTCCTCAGCCCAGTCACCGGAATCCCGGGAACAGCGCTGATCAAATCCATGGCAACAGAGGAGGAGTCTACACTTCGACCCATGACCGCATCGGCGGAAATGAGGAAGCAGGAAGTCGAGAGCAGGGCTGATGTGGAATACCACACATTTGTTTAAGATGAATTAGTGTCGATTAGAGTAAGTTATTAATTTACATTTACCGCAGATGTGGAGAACTGAAAGGGTTTCACTGTAGCGCTCTTCACACGTGCTGTGGTGTCGCTCGCTGTGCTCGAGAAAGATGCTTCACAGGTAAATATCAGAGCATTGTGCTGAATGGGTGTTTGACAGCACCACTGAGACTGGGCAATGCAGCTAGCCGAGCATCACTGGTGCTTTTCTATCATATCCGATCAATTAAATAAGAGGAGACCGCATGGAGGGAACCATGAAGAAGATGATGATGATGATGATCATCATCTTCATGTGGTGGTAAAAAAAAAATCCTTAGTATAAAAGTGACATAAAAGTAAATAAATTATGTAGCTGTTATAATTTGCCAGTTCTTTAAATGTTATATTACAGACACTAAAAAAACTTGCACTACTAAGCTACGTTACTAATAGTTGTTTACAGATGGCTGTCACACATTTAGCGTTATTTTTCTGAAATTATGTATTTTTTACTTAATATTTTTACTATATGCTATATATGTTTTACTAGTATATACTTCTGTGTGTATACTGTATGTGGCAACATAATTTAAGTCTATTTGATTTTTACAAATTTATGTGCACACTGTGGGGAAATAAATTTTATTTGATTTATTAATTGCTATATAGTCTCAGATTTACGTATGTTGTGTTGCCTATTATGTCTCACTTGTTTGTTAGAAGTACTCTGCTTTTTCTTATGTTATTCTTGTGTTTTATTTATTTGTTTACTTGTCAGGGGTTTTATTAATTTGGGGGCCCTAAGCAATTTCAGCCCAACATTCCTAAAATGCATTAAATGAAATTACATATTTTCAGCTACTGAAAATTCAATACATCTCCAACATGAGCACACTTTAGATTCTCGTTGTATAGGGCTGAGCGATATGTCAATATTGCAATCTCAAATATTTTTCATATTGACTAATAACGATATATATTTTGATATAAGTTGTTAATGCTTCCTGTTTTAAAGAGTATCCCAACAATGACTGAAGCCACAAAGATTAGACGCTTCATTAAATTATATTTTAAAGTATTATTAATTAACAAAAACAGTTGACACATTATGCAATTTTTTTTGGAGATTCCAATGTTGTATAATATACTTATGATATACAATGTGAAATATAATATTTTGAAGAACTGTCGTTGACATAGAGTACACAAACAAAGATACTTATTGCATTTTCTAAAAATGAACAATTACAGATTTTTTTTTTTTTTAAATAAATGTTTTACTTAATTGAAATTGTAAAAATATACATCATTAAAATAAGCAACAGTTTAAGAGCTAATACTGCTAGTGGGAAAGTTAATCAAGCTCGATAAACAATACTGAGTGAGGTTGCATTTCCCTAATATCAACACAATTACAGATTCCTGTTGTTGCATATGTGTGCTGTAGGCATGAGCCGGTATAAGATTCTGATGGTATGATAACCTTGGATATATCAGGGTATCATGGTGTTGTGCTCACTGCTCTAAAATTTATTCTTTTTAACTGTCTGGGTAAAAAAAAAAAAAAAAAAAAAAAAAAAAACTAGAACTTTTTTCTCCTTTTGAACACAATATATACTTTTGTTTTAAAAATGTTTCAGAGCAGTAAACTGTCAGGGTAAATAATTTAAATGAATCATTGACTTCTGCTGTCTTCATTAGTTTCAAAAACACAGATTTCTTTACAATTTAAAACAGCAAAATTTAATGGACATTTTTAACTGCTGGAGAAACTGTTGTCCTAAAAAACAAAACAAAAAATGTAAAGTAAAAATCTTACACATACCTAAGAATGGTAATACAAAAAATGTTGCCAGTTTTAAAACCTTGACTTTTTCAAACCGCAGTATACCTTGAAAATGATTATCATCCCATGCCTAGCTGTGTGACTGGCTCTTTGCATTGATCAATATTGAGTAAAAATTTCCAGAGCTTATTATTGTTATTGACATACATTTTATCATGATTAGATATGATATTGTTTATTGCCTGAGCTCTATTGTTGCACATTTCTGCTGTGTGATTGGCTCTTAGGTCGATATAGAGTAAAAAAACCCCCAGAGATTATCATTGTTATTGACATAAATTCTATCTTAATTCAATATAATATCATTGTACTTTTATTTATTTTCTGTTGATTTATTTTGGTGTTTTTTTGTCTCTCTCTTTCTGTTTTACCTTAATGCAATCTCTACATTGTAAATGGTTTACTTAACATGAATCCAATACTAATTGTACAATATAGTTGTAGAAATATAAATAAAGTAATATTTATTTTATCATGAATTAACATTATATTGAAAAATATAAGTCAAATGCACTATTGTTTTTTTCACACTGTTTTCTGTCTTTTGTCTTTGTTTATAGGTGACCTAAGTTGAAGCGGGGTGAATGTGGAGTGTTTGCGGAGTGTAACAAAATCATTACCTGCTCCATTAATAGATGTGACTGTAATGCTAAATATGCTCTTCACTTGCCCTTGAACAACTTTCGTTTGTATTACCTCTCAGTCGCTCATTTCTTGTTGATTGGAAGCTAAAGGAAAAATGGAAAGGCCAAACTAAAGTTCTACACTTCATCACTTCACACCAAAGTCCATAATTTTACACTTGAATTCATCATGTCATTGGGCGAACAGTCGCAAAAGTGGTTTCCAACCCATGTCCAAGCCACTGTTCTCCAAGCCACAGACCTGCAACCAAAGGGCAAGAATGGAACCAATGATGCCTACACAATCATCCAGCTGGGCAAAGAAAAATACTCCACATCGGTGGCAGAGAAGACCCTGAACCCAGCGTGGAGGGAAGAGGCTTCATTTGAGCTTCCAGGGCTGCTAATGGAGAGCAATCCAGAGGTTTATGAGCTCTGCCTCACAGTCATGCACAGGTCCTTAGTGGGACTGGACAAATTTCTGGGCCAAAAACTCATTAACTTAAATGAGATATTCGACAACAAGGAGCGGCGAAAAACTGAGTAAGTAGTTTAATTTTTCATTATATCCATTTCCTTTAATAGTCTACAGACAAAAGTCTTGTAGAAACACCCAACTGTAACATACCTTTAAATAAGCAGAAGTATAGCTTAAAAGAGGAATATGATACTCCATGTCTGTGTTGGTTTTTGGTACATTTCATGGTAACAGTGAAGTAAGTGACGTTTTTATGGTATTATAGGGCAGGGCGATTAATCGAAGGTCATTTTCATGCAAATTTAGATTTAAACCTCCAGCACATGCTTTTAGATGGAGCAGCATTTAATACAGAGCCGTATAACACTGACAGCGTATAATAACATTCAAAGCTAAAATCAATTTAGGTGGATGATAATGACACTGACATCATTATAATCGTTCTGTGAAAATGACGTCTGCTTTTGTGTTATAAATACTAATAATACCGTAATAATTTATGTTTTTACTCCAAACCTGCTACATAACAGCGATCATCAGTCGAGTGTTTGAAATAAATCCTTCTGTGAGATGATTCCGTAGTCGTGTGGTTTATAAGGCAGCATCAAAGACTAAAATCAGTATTAGACTGATTCAAAGCAGTTTAGTTTTCTATTAACAGTGCAATGCTATGTGGATTTCCTGGGTTTATGAGTTTTTTTTATATTTGCTACTGATCACACAACCATGGAGAAGATGTACACATAAGCTGTAAAAGATATGAACATAGTATTCGTGACGTCAACCATAGGTTTTTGAAGAAAGCAAAAGAAGCTACAAGTAGGCGTGGCCAACCATTGCCTTTTTGTTTGTGCGTCATCGCACCGACCAGGGGATACCAAACAATGGCAACGAGGCGGAGCATGAGCGGACCATCTTAAATAAAGCAAATACATTTATAGAGATGGTATACAAGTATATAATGGAGGCTTTGTGAGCACAATTTAGTGCACACAGCATGCCATATCATCTGATAATTGTAAGAAATAATTCCAAAATGCAAATGACTGTGTAAAGCTACATAAAACAAAACAAAACAAAAATATGATGTATATGACGAGTTCAGATGCTAATCAGCTGGAATCAGCTAAGGTGACCAGCGAGACCTAGTTGTCACTCAAGTGGCCCCGCCCTTAATTTTGCAGACTTCACTTAATATAATTTAATATGAACAAAAAGAATGAGCTTTAAAAAAATTACCCCCTCACAGTTGTCATGAAGGGTGATATTAGCTATATGAACCAAAATCTTTCTTTGTACCAGGCTGTAAACACCTTTTTTTTCTGCTGTAAATTTGGCCATTTTAACATTGGGCTCAATAGAAATCTGCTCTTTTGTGGCTCCACAATAGTGGAATAAACTAGCAGGATTTCGATGAATTGCAGTTTCTGTTACTTCCGTATTTGCTTCACGAGGGACAGGGGGAGGTTGCCACTTGAATGTACATGACAATCTAAATTGCATATGCAATTTCATTATGATTAATCGGCCAGCCCTGTGATAGCAGTTATTACTTTATCTACACAATTCATAAAATTGTTGTAAAATCACAGTTCTTACTGATAGTTTTGGATTGTCTGTATCTCTCTTGTTAGATTTTGCTGATTACCTTTATGAGAACAGACCTCAAAGTCTCACTCTGATATCTACAGAGACCTTAGTAGGTAATGCGTGTCAGCACATTGAAGCCAGGTCAGTCAATAATACTCCAGTAATAGCAGAATAAATGGCTTTGAAGTGACTTTGCTATTTTTAGCTCTTGTAACACTCAGTGATGCAGTTTTCTTTTAACATTCAGATAATGTTTTACCTAGTCCTCTGACGTAATCTCTGATCTTTGTTTTTGACTCTCATTGTTGTCATTGAGTTTTAAGTTATGAACATGCTATTGCTGTGCATTACTATAACAGTCTTATGCAGGTTGCTTTTATTCTTGTGTGAGATAAAGGCTCCATTTAACTTCAGTTTGAGTCACAGTCCCATGGTGGATGAACTGGTCTAGTGAGGATGACGATTATCATGCATGCTATTACTTTCCTCTTTGCTATTTAGGGCCTGATGACTAACTGTTGGGTTTTTTAATCCATGTGACTGACTTCCTTGTTTTGTTAGATGTGATATACAGTAGGCTGTCAAAACCTATGTATATAGGGTGTTTCATAAGTCTTAATATTTAATATTTCTCTTTTTTGGCATGCATGTACAGACTAGCAGTGTTTTATTAGAGTATTAGGACAGAAACTTGTATGGCTGGTTGAAGTAGAAAAGGCAGTGCCGGTGTCTAACAGAACTCATCTTAGTGGAACAAAAGCATTAACTATGTGAGGTAGCATGAATGTATTGAATGAGCCTCTAATACAAGTATTGTGAACAGAAAAAAATCCTTATATGAGTTTATTAAATATGATATATTCAAGTAAAATCATAAAAGCAAAAGAGGTGTTACACTGTATCGTCTGTGCACAAGCGCAATCACAATTTAGATTTAGATTTTTTATACAGTAGTTTAAAGAACAATACATTAGGGCTGAGTGATTAATCGAAAATTCGGTTTCGATTTTGATTTTGGCTACTAACGATTATGAAAAACCAATAATGGAGATAAACGATTATTGCATCAAATACTGCCCTTTTCCAGTTGTACACATTTGTTGCTCTGCAAAGCTCAGTTTCACATAAAAAATGACTAAAAGCATGTACTGTAATGTAATTTTGCAGCACGAGATGCGCATTGTTCATTGATGAACATTGGAATTCATGTTTTTAAAAGCGCAAATGAGACTGCATGCTGCTGTGTGTGTGTACATGCTGTCAGCATTTGGTCTCATTCGCAAACTGTGCACTTGGCGTCAGAGATGAGCAGAGCACACACATCTAAAGTCATCTTAATGTGCGCTTTAATGGTCAAATTTTAGTTTAGTTTATTTGTTTACAGGGTCAATGCACATTAATAAACATTACTGTAAAATGTGCCACAATTAGCCAAGAATGGCTATTTTTTATCTGTAGACTCCTTACAGAATGTTAAAAAGTCACACCTAAAATAGAAGCACAGCATAATAGGTGTCAAAACACGGTCTTTAGTGATTTTTTTTTTTTTTTTTTGAACTTGAGAACCATAGGACTTGCGAAAACCTGAGGGACTATATAACAGACCTAATCCAGGTAGAAACACTGTTTTTTAAATGATCGTTATAAAAAAAATCCAAGATTTATTTGTTGTCTTAATTGTTCAGTTAATCATGTAAGTTCATGTAAATGTTCTTTTTTATGATTATTTATTTATTGCAGAACAAAGCCAGCATACATAGCTAGCAACAACTTTATACAAGCCAGGGTTTGCATTAAATGAAAATACATAAAGAAATTACAAAAAATAATAATAGTAAAATAAAGACAATAAAATAATAAATGAATAACAATACACAGAAAAAGAAAAGCTCTGGGGTGAGAATTAACTAGTTAACTATTTAATTAACTAAAAATTTTCTCAATAAAATCGGACCATGCTTTGTTTGTATGGGGTTTAGCTCTGTTAATTCTTGCAGTGGAACGTTCTAACAGTGCAATATTTTTTTAGTTCAATAAGCCACATTTTATCCGCTGGGAATGAGGGTTCATGCCATATTTTAAATATAACTTTCTTGGCTGCAGTTAGTGCAGTATGAAATATCCTGCGTTGGGAAGTGTTTAGGTTTAGATCATAATCATCATTCAATAAACAGATATTAGGGTATTTGGGAACATGTAAATGTTAATGCAATTGTTCAATTACCTTTCTCATAATGCGCAATACATTGATCCATATCACTAATTAACATATTATAACAGACTTAACATTGTGGAGATATTAAAATAACATTTATTAAAATATCTGTATGTTCAAGTTTTTATTTAGTATTTGGTGTTGCAAGCTAAAGCAAAGGTTTTATCATTGGCAGTTGAATAAGATGCAGCATCTTAGGTAATAAGTGAAAAATCATACTTGTCTAAAAAAATAGTTCTTTTACACAAATTTAACCAACAAAAACAATTGGTACCCCAAAACACATTATTGAAGTTATTGGGGTTGTGCTCTCTGTTTTTTTTCTGCCTCACCCAACTCACACATGGCTCTGTATGGATCACAGCAAACGTCGAGCTGGAAAAGATGGTGTGGATGAAGTGCAGTGAAGTTTTTCAATTTACTTCTGTTTCCAGCACATGTAACAGCCATTTAAATTAAATGTTTTCGGGAGAGAGTGAATAATAACAAGGGAAACAAACACTAGATGTTTTTTGGTGCTATAATAAAACAACCTTAAGAAACAAAAAAGTGAAGATGCATTTGATGACCGCTTTACTGTAAAATTAATGCATCCGTACACCTCTCATTTCCTAATCATTGTCTATGTTTCACAGTCAATGCAAGGTATTATTTGGTCAGTAATCCTGTGATTTCACACCCTTGAGGGGAAGTTATGTGCTGTATGCTGACTTTGCCGTTGACACTCATCACACAAATCACTGTACCATGCTTCTTGCATCCTCTGCAAGGACTCTCAGGGTTAGCAGTCCCTCTTGACTCTGTTCATGCAAGGGTTTCCTGCAACTGACGCAAGGGTACAAGAGTCCGTTTCGACATTGGAGTCGACAGGCCCTAATTATCGCACACCTGTGTTTGTTGATTGTACGCTGGTTCCCAGCGGCCCTCGCAGAGTGGGAGTATTGTGGTTCCAGGCAGTGGAAGATTTATCTTGGCCTTGACTCCCATGTGAAGAACAGGGTCTGGCTGGCTCTCCACATGCCCAGATCAGAGCTCCCTCACTGGGCCTGAGACCAGGTAAACCCTCTTGCCTCGGATCTACAAGCTCCCCAGTGTGTGGATGGTCTTGGAAAGAAACATAATCACCATTCACTAGCTGTGCCATGATGGAAGAAGAGCACTCAGCAAGATGGCAGCCTGTGAAGACCCCAGAGGGAACCGTGTACCGATACTGAAGCAGTGTTTACAGTAGTGTTTGCATGGAGGAACTGTGTTTCGGTCGGAAGTGTTGAGCTGCATTTCTGCATGGCTGGTTCATGAGCATACACAGTGTCTTTATAATCAGTGATGAGGTCAAGGAAAGACTCAGGAAATGTTTTTCATTTTTAAAAATGAATCAGGATTTATTGGAATGCACTATTAAAAACAAGCATTGTTTTTTTAGCACTAATGGTTCTGTGACATTTTTTAAGAGGAAAAAGGTTTTTAGACCATTTAAATAATCAGCAAATGAAGAACAAAATGTTTCTTTTAGGAACTGTTCACTAAAAGCTTCTTTAAGAAAACTAAAACAGTTCTTTTATGGCACCTTTATGTCTAAGAATCTAGTTTTAAGGATTTTAGTGCTGTGCTGCCAGTATTAAAATTCTACAATACATCAAAACAAACTCCACAAAATACTTAAAGAAATGAAACCCTACAAGTGTATTTAGACTTCACACCATTATAGAGTACAGGGTGGGAAAAAAATTATTAGCAGGGATGTGACAAAATCTCAAATGTCGAGATCTCGTGAGATTAAATCGGTGAAAAGTTGTCTCGTGAGTTGTGCTGATATGATGGAGCGTGAGGGTTAAATTAGCATTGAAGATTGGAAGCAGGATTGGATTTGAACCATAAATCAGGTTCTTTGGACACACCTGGCAACCCAGGCTGTCGTAACTGCTTTTGTCACAGGAGTTCAGCGGCTGCCACGTCCAACAGAGGCTACAACTGCAGCCATACACATTAGGGTTCATATCCATGCAATGAAATAGCACTTCAGATATGCTTAAAGTCATGATCCTCGTAAACACAAATGGAAATAAGACGTGGAGTATTCCTATTTTAGTCGCATTACTGAAGTACAGAGTACAGACATTTAAACACCTGAATCAAACTATTAACACACACACACACACACACACACACACACACCTACACATTGCTGGAGAAACATGTTTATGCTGTTCTTTTTTTTTTCTTTTTTTTTTGTCTTTTTCATTCGGCGTATGGAATCAAATACATAAAAACAACTCTTTGCTATCAGTCCTTACTTCAAATTACAGTTGTTTTTAAGTTCAATTTGTGGAAAGGAGTTCAATTTCTCATGTGAAACTGTACAGGAGATAAGCCATTCAGTAGAGTTTATAGCTAAACATTGTTTGCATGTCCTTTAAAACATAGACATCCTTTAAAGAATGCAATTTAAAAAAAACACCTGCATTGTTTTGCATTTTGTTTTTTTGTTTTTCAGTTGAATAAAAATTAGTTTCCATTCATATATTAGCAAATATTTTGCTAATATCAGAAATTATATATTAAAGACTTTTTTTCCATTTACATAGACTAGTGTTTACATGTCCTTTTTGTATAGGATTCATTAAAATAGAAATAAAATAACATTTATAACAAGTTGATTTTAAAAAGCACCTAAATAGTTTTGCAATTTGTGATTTTTTTTTTTCAGTTCAATAAAAGACTATTTTTCATTTATATATTTCATCATTGAAGAGTTGTTAAAAATTTTGTAAAAATTTAATTTTGTCTCTTATCGTAAAGCCAACATCGTGTCTCGTCTCGTGGAGTAAGCGTTTCATCACACCCCTAAATATTAGACTATAGTAGATGTTTTGTTTTTACATTTTGTTTTTCTTACATTGTTTATACTGTCCACAAATGCAATATAATATTTTTTATATGTATTGTGCATTTTTGTGTGGAGTCTGCATGTTCTCCCCATAATCACTAAGTTTCCTCAGGGTGCTCTAGTTTCCCCAAAAAACATGCACTATAGGTGAATTGGGTGCGCTAAAATTATCCGTAGTGTATGTGTGTATGTCCTGGTCCTTCAGGTTGGGGCTTGAACACTGGGCTTAGGACCCACCCCGTACGAATTAGATGAAATGCCAACAGGGTGCGGCTAAATATCAACTTCGATATAAACAGCCCTGGGAGTAAGTAAGTTTATTTGGTGTAGTTTTATATTATAATCAAATCTCGCATCAGGACTTTGTACACTCATTATTATTTAGCACTCCACATTATCTTCTTGTTGAAAATTTTGTGTAATTTATTTTTTTTTATTATTATATATTTATATGCATTAGTTAGAAGCAAAAATCTTTAAAAAATCGGATGCACTATTTCATTTCCTTTTATTTAATTTCTGGACTGTGCAAGATTAAATATGGCATCTGCTCATTGAAGATCCTGGCTCTCTATTGAGTTTAAGTCTCTGTCAAGTACTGTACCTATACCTTAACAGTTTGTGGTGATCATTATTAAATGAATGATCCTGCTCCGCGTGTCTTAAATCGCAGGAGCATCAATATTCAGCCACTCCAGAGATTCATGCGGCTGTGCTGAAATATTGTCCATTTCATAATCTCCAAATACCGGTATGAGCATCAATGAACAAAGGGCAGATTTGTGCAAATGCCACCTCCTTTTCACACAGTTACAGCATGAATCACATTACTTCCAGCTGAAAAAAAGAGCAAGAGGTTAAATAAACAGGAGCCGGGGAAAGGCCTAGATGGAGGCGTATTACTTCACATTCTTTATGTGGCCCAAACCTTTGCAGTTACCAGGGAATTATGTTTATCCCTACTATAATATGCGTTCTCAGGAAGGGGGAATGCTTTCAAATGGACTAAATGGACTATGCTCTGGATTTGTGTGAAGTGAAATTGGGTTTCTGGCCAGACAAACACATTGCCCCCATGTCGTTTTTGTATGAATTATACATACAGAGCAAAGCCTGAAAGAGAGTCTTCCCACTAGGGGGGTTTCGCAGAAAAGGGGAATTGAAAGAGTGTGCGGTTTTCTTCTGTTTGTTTTTTATCAAGCTGTGAAAGTACACTGGAACATCTGCAAATTGCTGGTGCTTGCCTGGCTGTTTTTAATAACACCTAAGAGGCCAGGCGTGCTCGCCAAACCACACCCCAAGATGAACCAGAGCGGCTGTGCTCTTGATTGAAGTACACTTTGATTTCCCAAACTTTTTCAAGAGGGTTTTACTCAAGTTATCAAAAAAGGGTAGATAGATAGATAGATAGATAGACAGACAGACAGACAGACAGACAGGCAGGCAGACAGGCAGACAGACAGACAGACAGACAGACAGACAGACAGACAGACAGACAGACAGACAGACAGACAGAAAGATAGATAGATAGATAGATAGATAGATAGATAGATAGATAGACAGACAGACAGACAGACAGACAGACAGACAGACAGACAGACAGACAGACAGACAGACAGACAGACAGACAGACAGACAGACAGAGAGACAGACAGATAGACAGATAGACAGATAGACAGATAGATAGATAGATAGATAGATAGATAGATAGATAGATAGATAGATATAGATATAGATAGATAGATGTAACAGGTATACACTAATCAAGTTTTTTAAGTTCTAGAGTTATGTAGAGTTTGCATTAACTGGAAAATTGACTGAATTTTAAAAGCTGATAAATGCTTATTGTGCATATAAAGTATTTATATCAAATATATAATATAATAAAATAAAACAATTTTATTTTTCCAAAAGTAATAATGGTCTACTTTGAAGAAATTGTGAATAAAATGTCATAATGTATATTGCATTTTGAAGAATTATCACACTTTTTAAATCTAAACCATATGCTTAAGACGTTATTATTTTTTATTATTATTATGAACATTAACATTATTGTCATTATTGTTTTTATCATTTTTATTTGACAACATTTGAAAAAGTTGAAATACATGATTTGAATATAAATTATTTATAAATTTTAACATAAACATTTTGATGGTAAATTTGTATCATTTTTGTGCTCTTGACAGTAAAATAGCCTCTAAATAGAATAAGCCAATAAAACATAGTGATTCAGATTTTGTCATAGTTTCCAACACTACTTTGTCATTTTGACATATGGATTATAACATATAATAACAATATAAATAGAATTTTAATAATTTAAATGTAAAATATTTAAATTCTATTAAAATAGGTGAAGCATTATTTTATATACTCTGATCTGTACTAGGGTTGTCGTGAAACCATTAATTCATTTTACGATACCATACCAGCTGAAGTATCGTGATACTAAGTTGTATTGCGATACTGTAATTCATAACTCAAATTAGAAAATTGTCAGTATATATTTAGTTATAACAGGCTCACTTTAAATTGAATTAATGATTTCCTTATTATTGAACAAGCATTTGCATGTCACTTCACCTAAAATGTATTCGTTCTTTTAGTGTATTTTGTAGATAACTGACCAAACCTACTAAACAATACATTAAAATAAACATACAAATTATACCAAATCAATTTTGTTACAAAAAGAACCTTTTTCCAACCAAATTATGCTTTATGAAGTGGTAATTTTTTTATGTTTCCTGTATTTATTTTTTTGTTTTTGTTTTTTCAGTCTTATCAGGTAAGAATTTTAAGTAATTGAAAATTTCATTTTGTGAGTCGCTCTTTTTAAGAGATTGTGGCACAGACTATTAAAAACATGGTCTATTGTTGGACAAATGTGTGTGCATTTTAGTAACATTTCCACATGCAACATTATGTATTGTAGATAGACCGTTTATGGCGATACTATTATTTACAAACTACAGTGGCACCGACAGTATTTTGGAGCCATAGTATCACGATACTACCATAGTACCGGTAAACTGTGCAACCTTGATCTATACCATTCTTTTATTTGTTTTTCACATGTTAAATCATATTCTTCTGTCCCTTTCTCATCAGCTGGTACACTCTAGACTCACGGCCTGGTAAGAAGAGAAAAGACAGAGGGAAGATTCAAGTTAGCATCCAGTTCATGCGGAACAACATGACCGCCAGCATGTTTGATTTGTCTATGCGAGACAAGCCCCGATCGCCATTCTCCAAGCTGAAGGAGAAGATGAAGGGTCGCAAACACGACGGTGCCTTTTCAGACACATCTTCCGCCATCCTTCCACGCTCAGGGCAGAGTGAGACTGATTCTCTGGCAGACCAGCACCCGCATTCGCACCCACAGGCCCCCACTGAACCCAAGCCAAAACGCTCGCTGCTCACGGGCACGCAGAAACTCTCTGCTGCTCACTCCATGTCTGATCTGATAGGAACTCACTTCAGGAACAAACTCGACTCCATGAACTCCATTGAGGAGAAAGGTGAGGACGTGAAATTATGTTAGAACAGTGTGCAGTTTTTATATTTATTTTATTTTATTTTATTGTATTTTTTTCATGATTATTTTTCACTTATTTGATTAATTTTGATTTTATATATATATATATATATATATATATATATATATATATATATATATATATATATATATATATATATATATATATATATATATATATATATATATATATATATGTGTGTGTGTGTGTGTGTGTGTGTGTGTGTGTGTGTGTGCGTGTGCGCGTGTGCGTGTGCGTGTGTGTGTGCACGTTTTTCTTAGCAACAAACCTGCATAAAACTGCCTACACGTCGTTGTCCGTAGTCACTAAATCAAAAAGTTATGAATTGCCATGAGATTGCGTTGCACTCTCAGCTCACATCATTCAAAAGAAAAGGTCCACATTGTCCCCCAATAATGTCAACAAACTGGACTGTTTTAGCAACTGGCTGAATGTAAAAGAGGACTAAGTAAAATTGTTTCTACTTATTAATTAATGTTCTCAACTTACAGCAGTACACTTTTGCAATGAGTACAATTGTTTGTATTCAATTCTTTATTTTTATAAAAATTTTCCATATTTGCAATGCCTGTATTTTGGCATTTTTTTGCAGTCCACTTAGAATCCAACTTGGAAATATTTTTTTTTTCTTTATTGGTATTAAATGTTTTGAAATTCAAATGGCTTTAACATGCCTGTGTTTTTATTTCTGTAATAAATATGGCTGTCAAGCCAGGATCTTGATGGTTTATTGTGGGTATGTTGTTTACATGAAGAAATCTGTGTTACAAGGAAAACAAAAATTCTAATAAACAATTATATTTTGAATTTAAATGGTTTTTGTCTTCCGTTTAATTTTACATTTGAATAGCCAAAATTACAAGTTCCTGTCTTTTAAATGTGATTAATCGCGATTAAAAAAAAAAAAAAATTGTGATTAGTTAGTTAATTTTTTTTATCGATTGACAGCACTTATATATAATAACAGTTGATGTCAGAATTATTAGCCCTCATGTTTATATTTTCCCCCATTTTCTGTTTAACAGAGAGAAGATTTTTTTCAACACATTTCTAAACATAACAGTTTTAATAACCTGTCTCTAATAATATATTTATTTTCTCTTTACCATGGTAACAGTAAATAATATTTTACTAGATATTTTTCAAGACACTTCTATCCAGCTTAAAGTGACATTTAAAGGGTTAACTAGCTTAATTAGGTTAACTAGGCAGGTTAGGGGAACTAGCCAAGTTATTGTGATGGTTTGTTCTGTCGAAAAAAATATATAGCTTAAAGGGGCTAATAATATTGTCCTTGAATGAGTTAAAAAAAAAATAAAAACTGCTTTTGTTCTAGCCGAAATAAAACAAATAAGACTTTCTCCAGAAGAAAAAAATATTATCAGACATACTGTGAAAATGTCCTTGCTCTGTTAAACACTGTTTGGGAAATATAAAAAATAATTCGAAGGGGGGCAAATAATTCTGACTTCAACTGCATAAATATATTTGATCTATTAAACATAGTAGATTATGTATGAGTAAAATGTACTTGTAGGTATGAGTAATATGAGTTTGTGTTAACCACAGACTTGATTTCCAGCATAAAACCCAAGAATCCCAACCCAAGTTGTTTTTGGGTTTTGTGCTACAAAAATATGCCAACCCTATTTAAATATATCTAAAAATGACGTGTCTTTGTCATCTTTAGGGGGTGCTTCATCTCACCGTCACTCTCAGAGTGATGGATATGGGTGCCCAGCCAGCGACGTTCAATGCGACCCCTTTTCCGACATCGGAGACAACATGCCCCAGAAATTCGCCACTCTTCCACGTAACCGCAATCCCTTTGAGGGAGATCAGGGGACGCTGTGGGGTGCAGACAAGAAAGAGAAGAAGGAGAAGGTCGGTCTTTTGGGCAGAGTGACTGGGAAGAAAGACGGAAAGAAAACTGGAGCACGAATAGGAAGCTCTGGAGACCTGCGTTCGCCAAACCCTTTTACCAGTGAATCCACTAGCGAAACCAACCCCTTCCTCTCACACTACAGATCCAGGTTTTTCTTTTATTATTTTGATCTGCTTTTATCCATTTTAAGTTTGTTTTTAGCTGGATTAATTGGGCTTTTACTACACTTGATTGAGGTCAAATTAGTCTTATATAACAGGGCCACAGAGTAAAAGAGAGAGAACTACAGCTTTCATTTTTTTCATAGCTGGGTTCTGATGTTCTTCCCTGACAGCAAAAGACTGTCCAGCAAACTCACAAGCAGTGGATTGTGCACAGTTATCTGCTTTTTATGTAGTTGGAGCATTTTAATTACTTGCGGTCTTCTCCCTCAAGATAATAAGCTACCACCATATAATGCTTATGTGATTAAACACGTCAGTACATAATAACTTATGTTATGATTATTATCACGTCTTCGTCGTTGTGCATCGAAAAACAATTAATTTTGACTCTAACCCTAATATTCCCAGGTATTAAAGGGCACATAGGTTACCCCTTTTTTCATATTAATTATAAGTCTTTTGTGTCCCCAGAATGTGTCTGTGAAGTTTCAGCTCAAAGCACCCATCAGAGTATTTATTATAGCTGTTTGAAGTGTCTGTATTATAGCTGGGAAAAGGTTGTTGCTTTTTTTTTGCACTGGGCCTTTAAGGCAAGTCATCCCCGCCCACCGTTCCCACGTGCCTGTCAGCAACATGCCTCAACATGCCCTCAGCTGCCTCAGAAAGCAGATCTCATGTAACGTTTGTGAGAAATACTACAGTAAGAACTTTACCAATTTACCAATTTACCAAGTATTTGATGCATTTTTTGTGGAGTTGCAACAATGAGTTCACGCACACACAGCGAAGACACACACACACACAAATAGCACAGACACTTAGCAAGACACACACGCACATACATAGCGTAGACACGCAGCCAGACACACACACACACAGACAAGTAGCGCAGACACACACACACACATACATAGCGTAGACACACACACACACATACATAGCGCAAACACACACACACACACACACACACACACAGACAGTGAGAGAGACACGAGGCTGTGCTGATGAAGTGAATTGCTGTACTTCATTACACACGTGCACACGTTTTAAACATGTTAAACTTGTAAAACTCACTCTTGATCACGTCTGATGATGATTGATGATCCTAGCAAACTGAACAGACCTTTTTTTCCCGGTTGCTTTGCACTCGTCCTGTCTTGTCGATATGATTTTATGCATTACTACGGAGACATGTTAATGCGCGCAGCTGTCAATCAATAATGGTGTGCGGGGGGACTGCACTCCTACGTAAAGTTGCAGTCGATCTGAAAACCGCTCCAATTGGTCCACCGTTTTTATGTTGTTAAATTTGAATTTGACTGAGTGTGTTAATTTCACCCCAATATGACAGGATATACACTATACTTACACACATGTATATCCAAACAGTTTAAAAAGTAGATTTTTACCATAGGTGCCCTTTACACCTGGCTCATACGCGCATATATTTCACAAATTAATAATAATAGTAAGTAGATCAGTGAAGCCATTTGTTTAGAACAATATTTCTTTCTACAAGTTTTGTGTCTGCTTGTTAAGCAGGAAAACATTTCTTGCGTAATAAAGCCCTTAAAACTAATACAACCTTAACATTATACAACATTACATCTGCTGGGCCTTATTCAGTGAGAAGAACTGTCTGGATATACATTATCCCTTACATATCATATATAAATAATATTCTAATAAAATAATTGCTTAGAACTGCATCTTGAGTTACAGTACATCTGCTGCTTGTCATTCCCAACCGCTGCTCTGTCCTAGGTGAGGACAGTTAAGAGCTTAAAGTTTATCAGAGAAAGTCTGTCATTAGGAAGACCTTATCGATGTCATTAGGCCCAATCCAGGCTACAGGGGCCTGACCAAGTCACAGTAATGAGATCTGAATGAGTGATAGACCGTTCAATTAACAATTTATCTGCCCGGAGCCTATCTGGCCGCTCTTCCTCTCCGATTACTTTCTCATCTTAGATCACAGGTCTTGTAGGGGTCACAGGTTAGCTAAAAAGACATTTAACATACCAGTTTAATGTTGTCTGTTTGTTTCATAGACTCACTTTTGACAACTAGCGTCCTTAATAGGTTTCATCCATCCAGTTTATCATTAAATGATCAGACCACTCATAACAGTACATCCATGTAAGCATGTTTTCCTGTCGCAGTGGCAGTGCTGTTTGATGGTTGTGGTATGGGTGGAAGAAATGTGTCAGGCAGTTGAATTTCCTAATTTCCTGTTATGATTAAAAAAAAAAAAAATGCAGATTATGGTCTAATCTGTAAAGTGTTGCAGACAGGTATTTTCCATGTGGATGGCACTGTTCAGTTTGTATGTATTTCTGCATTATATAGTTGATATGTTTTAAGATTTGGTGCTTGTTAACATTACTATAGTAAAATGACTATTATAATGTTTCATATTTTTAAAAAAATGCATGTAATATGCTTAAATTAAATGTTTATTAAAGTTCTAATTTTATTTTAAATTAAATAGGATTTAATGCAGTTTATTATTCATCAGAGAATCCTATAAACAAATGTATTCCCGTTTAAAAAAATATTAAGCTTTAACAATGTTTTTAACTGATAATAAGAAATTATTCTTGAGCAAAGACTTGAGTAATTATGCAGAAAATTTTGCTTTGAATCGCATTAATAAATTACATTAAATTTTAATTAAATAAATATTAATTTTAAATTGTAATAAAATTTCATGTTTTGGATAAAATAAATCAGACCTGGTGAGAGACGTTTTCTTAAGAATTAAAAAAATATTCATAGCAACCACATGCTTTTAAATGTATATATCAAGAAAGATATATCCATACATGCATGTATACACACTGTTGTTGTGGTTTAAAATTGCTCATAATGCGATTTGAGATTTTGGTCATACCGCCCACCCCTACTGAGAACCCGTAACTGGCTGTAATGTCTTTGTTGTGGTCAGTGACCAACTGTTAGGAAATAAAGAGTCGACTTGCTCTTTGCATGCAAGGAGGCGTCAAACCATTTCCTGACCCTCTGTTTTTCACATCACTAAAGGTCAACACCAAATATTACATTGAACTGTTGCGTGCAAGCAGCAGTTCCTGTGAAGGTTCTGTCACTTTACATGTAAAATAAAAGGGTATTTGATGTCTTTATTAAAGGCAACCTTTTTGACAGTTTTGTCTTTTCTTTCTCTCTCTTTCTCTAGCAGTGACAACATGAAAAACCCCACCAGTAATGAGGACCTTACACAGAGATTCAAAGCCTCTCCTGAAAAGAAACAGGTCATGAAAAATGCAAGAGAACATGTAAGTTCAATCAAAACATATTGTGCAAAGGTTTAGAATCTATGTTGCATACCATATTCATGCTCAGTTTACTTCTGGTTTGAAGATTTGACATTTGTTGAAGCGATGATAACATTAATAAAACTTAAAGTCTAAAACAGTTTGAGCTTTTTCACTTTCAAACATTTTCAGAATTAGTCAAAAACACTTTTGGAACTGTTACTTTCATTTAATTTGACCAAAACACATCCAGGTGTAAACCAGACCTATGGTACGTACATCAGGGCTATTCAATTCGCTTGTGATGGGGGCCAGTTCATAAAAAGCATCCCAAATAAAGGGGGCTGGAGAGATATAACTTGCAATATGAGGGATGACACAACAGAATATAAGAGCCCATATGTTGTATTTTTGCTCCTTAAGACACCAACGTTGGATTTGTCTACATTAAAATGTTGATATATTGTATTTTGAAACTACACAATATCAGTGCATTGTAAAATAGTTTTTTTATTATTATTATTATTATTATTATTATATATATTTTTTATACAAACGTTTAAATGTTGTATTTCAAAGCTCAACAAAAGCAGTGTATTGTCCGAATGTAGAAGAAGCCAAATTAAGCTCATTCATATGTTATGTTTTGAATTGCATAACGTTCGAGGTTACTAAAGTAACCCTTCGTTCCCCGAGGAGGGGAACGGAAGCACTATAAGTGGATTTGATTTGTAAAATCCACGCATTGGGAGGATTCGGATCAGAAGCCGCTTGTCTGGAGAGTATTGAACGGGCCAATGAATGAAATTAATTGGCAGCGTAAGCTTGCGCAGGTGTGCGACATCTGCAATTATCTCAGCATATAAGCACACCTGAAGCCAGCAGACGCCATCCTTTTAAGCTGAAGAGACTTTCAAACAGCTAAGGGACAGTCATTATGGCGACGGAGTATAGTGCTTCCGTTCCCCTCCTCGGGGAACGAAGGGTTACTTTAGTAACCTCGAACGTTTCCCTTCGGGGGGAACTTCAGCACTATAAGTGGATTTGATTTGTAAAATCCACGCATTGGGAGCCCATTGAAAGCGCCATAATGACTGCACCTTACCAACACCCCCGATGAGGAGATAGTCAAGCAAGCGTGACGCACCCACATCATGGGGGGCGCGGTCCTCCAACGTGTCCCTGGCCCTAATTTATCCTACTTCAACAGAAGTTTTACGGATTAGATATATTTTTTGGGAGTCGTGAGCATCTAGATAATTCTAGGAAATACGACAGTACGTTGGGAAGCGTGCAATCCCGATAGGGAGGACGCTGCGGAGGCCATCCGTTACCCAAGGGGGGGATAGATGGCAGAATTTACATATGGACTAGCCCTAAAAAGGGGGAGTACGCATAGCAAAAGAGTGGTTAGCGAAGAGGGAAGACACGGGTCCGCCCAGGGGGGGGACTTAACCGTTGCGGAATAAGCATATGGGATCGCCTAGTGGGGATCACGCATAGCAGGCACCTATACCCAAAACGCGGGCTGACCAGCGGGCAGACCTACAACGTAGTGGGCCAGCAAGTGACTCCTCCGCTGAGTCAGTGCTGGGGGCCACGGAGGAATCTGCAGGGCTCACCTGACGGGGAACTTTACTGACAGATAAAAAAGGCGCACGTACCTCCGTGTTAGGGAGAATGGCGCAGCAAGCGTGTTTCAACACCCTACCGAGTTGTCTCCTCAATAACCAAAGGGTTACCTAATACCCTTGAGGAAACCGGCTCCACTCGCAGATTGTAAAACCTTGCAAATGTGTTGGGTGTCGCCCAGCCCGCAGCTCTACAGATGTCTGTTAGAGAGGCGCCGCGTGCACGCGCCCAAGAGGATGCAACGCTCCGAGTGGAGTGTGCACGAACTCCCGGGGGACACGGCTGACCTCGACTCGAATAAGCGAGTGAAATGGCATCCACAATCCAGTGGGATAATCTTTGTTTCGATACGGCACTTCCCTGCTGCCGACCGCCATAACAGACAAAGAGCTGCTCAGATGATCTAAAATTCTGAGTACGGTCCACATAAATACGCAGAGCGCGAACTGGACAAAGTAAAGAAAGGGCTGGGTCTGCCTCCTCCGGGGGCAGCGCTTGCAGGTTCACTACCTGATCTCTAAAGGGGGTGGTAGGAACCTTGGGCACATAACCGGGGCGGGGTCTCAGGATAACGTGAGAGTAATCCGGCCCGAATTCCAGGCACGAGTCACTGACCGAAAATGCCTCCAGGTCCCCGACCCTCTTGATGGAGGCCAACGCAACCAGCAGAGCTGTCTTCAGGGACAGAAATCTTAGAGATACTGATTCGAGTGGCTCAAAGGGATCGGATCGCAGACTCTTGAGAACGAGGGCGAGATCCCAAGAGGGCCTGAGAGGGGGGCGAGATGGATTAATTCGCCTAGCACCCCTAAGGAACTGGATGACCAGGTTATGCTTTCCCATGGTGCCGCCAGCTACCGCGCTATGATAAGCGGAGATGGCGGCCACGTAAACCTTGAGAGTGGAGGGCGACAGCCTGCTGTCCAACTTCTCTTGAAGGAAAGAGAGCACAACACTAATCTGGCAATTTCGGGGGTCTTCTCTGCGAGAGACGCACCATTCAGTGAATAGACTCCACTTCAGGGCGTAGGCGCGCCTCGTGGAGGGGGCTCTAGCCTGAGTGATGGTATTAACCACCGCAGTCGGTAGGTTACCTAAGTCTTCCTCGCGTCTAGGGACCACACGTGGAGGTTCCAAAGATCGGGGCGAGAGTGCCAGATGGTGCCCTGTCCCTGAGAGAGTAGGTCCTCTCTCAAAGGGATCCGCCAGGGGAGGGCCGTCGCGAGGAGTGAGAGCTCTGATATCCAGGTCCGGTTGGGCCAAAGGGGCGCAACTAGCAGAACCTGTTCCTCGTCCTCCCTGACCTTGCACAGAAACTGCGCGAGCAGGCTCACTGGGGGAAACGCATACTTGCGCATGCCCCGAGGCCAGCTGTGGGCCAGTGCATCCGTGCCGAGAGAGCCCTCGGTCAGGGAAAAAAACAACTGGCAGTGAGCGTTCTCGGGGGAAGCAAACAGATCGATCTGGGCCTCCCCGAATCGCGCCCATATCAGCTGAACAGACTCGGAGTGGAGTCTCCATTCTCCAGGACGTAACAGCTGTCGTGAGAGCGCATCGGCTGCACGATTGAGCGTGCCTGGGACGTGAATGGCGCGCAGCGATTTCAGCCGCGGGTGACTCCAGAGGAGCAGACGGCGGGCGAGCTGAGACATGCGGCGAGAGCGCATACCCCCCATGCGGTTGATATACGCCGCCGCCGCCATACTGTCCGTCCTGACCAGCACGTGTTGCCGCTCCAGCACCGGTAAAAAGCGGTGGAGAGCGAGGAACACTGCCAACAGCTCTAGGCGATTGATATGCCAATGCAGCTGGGCACCCTTCCAGAGGCCCGCAGCCGCATGCCCGCGACACACGGCCCCCCAACCCGTGTTGGAAGCGTCTGTTGAAACAACAACATGGCTGGACGCCTGTCCTAGAGGCACACCGGCCTGTAGGAACGAGGGGTCGTTCCAAGGGCTGAGGGCGCGGCGACACAGCGCAGTAACCGAGACCCGGTGTGTGCCCACGTGCCATGCGCGTCTGGGGACCCGATCGTGAAGCCAGTGCTGAAGTGGTCTCATATGGAGCAACCCGAGCGGCGTGACGGCGGCTGCGGATGCCATATGCCCCAGGAGCCTCTGAAAGAACTTCAGTGGGACCACTAGTTTGCTGTCGAGCTCCCTCAGACAGTTCAGCAACAGGCGAGCGCGTTCCTCGGAGAGGTGCGCTACCATGGTGATCGAGTCCAGCTCCATCCCGAGAAAAGAAATCCTCTGCACGGGGGCGAGTTTGCTCTTTTCTCGGTTGACCTGAAGCCCCAGTAGGCGGAGATGCCGAAGCACCTTGTCCCTGTGCATAATCAATTGCTCCCGCGAGTGGGCTAAAATCAGCCAGTCGTCGAGATAATTGAGTATGCGAATGCCCGCGAGCCGAAGGGGCGCTAGGGCACCCTCCGCGAGTTTGGTGAAGACCCGCGGAGACAGAGAGAGCCCGAAGGGGAGGACCTTGTACTGCCACGCTCGACCCTCGAACGCAAACCGCAGAAATTGGCGGTGGCGTGGAAGAATGGAGACATGGAAATACGCGTCCTTCAGGTCTATGGCTGCAAACCAATCCCGAGGACGAACGCATTGGAGAATGCGCCTCTGCGTGAGCATTCTGAACGGCAGCCTGTGCAGACAGCGGTTCAAAACGCGCAGATCTAGGATTGGCCGTGACCCACCGCTCTTTTTGGGTACGATGAAGTATGGGCTGTAAAACCCACTCTCCATCTCGGCTGGAGGAACCGGCTCGATTGCACCCTTCGCCAGGAGGGCAGCAATCTCCTCTCGCAAGACAAGGGCGGACAGTGGGTTGACCCTATAGAAATACACGCCTGTAAACTTGCGGGGCCGTTTCGCGAACTGAATCGCGTAACCGAGTCTGATTGTGCGTATGAGCCACCGCGAGGGGCTGGCCCGCGCTAACCAGGCAGGCAGAGCCCTCGCTAATGGAGTCATCGCTACAATCGCTGACGTACCAGCGGTGGGGCAGCGCGGAGTGGGTGTGCTGATCCGGGAAGCACGAGGGTCCCGCGGAAGAGCTGGAGGAGAGCGATTCGCTCTGGCTCCGCACCCTGACTCCGGAGAGGGGGCTGGAGGGCTGAGGGAAGGGAGACCGTCCCCCCAGCGCTCGTGAGCCATTGGCGAAGCACGTAGAGTCTGCGAGCCGGAAGGCAGCGCGTCCCGGACTGGCAGAACTCGTGCAGTCACATCCGGGGAAGGGAAAAAGTGCTCTTTTACTGATGTTTTGGTGGCACTGAAAAGTACCGTTGTTATCGGGGCCCCGCCCTCCAGCGGGGAAAGAGCAAGTTTCCTCTTCTCCGGATGGCCTGTCTCAGGGACGCTTCGCGGTCCGTTTACCGGACTTAA